CGTTAGGAAACAATACTTCAAGACCACGGCCACACAGCCCGGAAGACCCACACCAGCCATCCTATGAAATAATACTTCTAGTTATATAGATTGTATTTTAAAAGCCTGAAATTTAATTCTTTTTTTAGTCTATTTTTAATAGTTTTTATTAGTCCAGTTTCAAACAAACATAAAATAATGCAAAATAAAAGTTTACCACACAAATCCTCAAGGAAAGAAAAACATTATTCAACAAAAAATACATAAAACAAACAAACAAGCAAAAAATGTTTGTTATAGTGATTACAGCTATATACCAAGTTTACCTGATCTTGTAAGTCTTAAAAAAAAACCTAAGCTTTCAATGCTGATCAAGCCTGTCCAAGAATTTTTTTTCAAAGGGAAAGATAATGTGAAATGTCCTGATTAACTGAATATATAATTTTCTCACACATCTCTGAAATCCAATACTTTGTATCTGGAATTATAATTTTCATCTCCTGCAAATTATTCTTTTTGGTACTATTAGAGCAGGAAAAACCCATCTTTGTTCTGAACATGTTAAATTCCAAGTAGTCGGTAGTACATTATTTATGTCTTTAAAAATTAGAGTTTTCTCAGTAATTCTGTCAATGTATTGTATAACATTTCTCCAAAAGTGATGTAGGGAAGTGTATGGCCATAATTTATGAGTTAAAGTGCCCTTAAATGTCTTCCAGCACCAACATAAATAATCATCAGTTGCTCCTTTATGAAACATTCCAGATGGCATCCAGTAGACACGGAAAACAATCTTTTAATGGATTAATTTTAACTTTAAGTCATAGCACATATCATAGCACATATCATAGCACATATCATAGAATATCCAACCATAGGGTTGGAAGGGACCTTGGATGACATAAACCTTGAACACATAAACTTAGTGTTCTTCAAAACTTGAGTTTTGAGTTGAAATTTGCTTCTTTTAACTTATAAAAGAGGTTTAAATATTGAAGCAAATTGTTTTCACCATCTTATTTCTAATTGTCAGATTTTATTTTATTTTGATTTGAAAGTAAGCAGAAGATGAGGTAAATAATAAGCAACAGTTCATGTCAAACAAATCAATCTGTACAAGAGGTTTTGAAGTTCTAAGTGTATTAATATATAATTTTCAAGCAACACAAAAAGGATAAGCATACCCTGGATGTATAGTAGTTATAACAAAATTGAAGTATTATGCAGCTTCCCTAAAATGAATTCATAGTTTTAAAAATATTTTAAAATCAAATATTCTTATATATGGTTATATAACTTTTAGGCAACTCCAGGATCATATGGAATTTCTCGAAGAACATCACCTATGAAAATAATTTCCAATACCTTTACTTCTAACATAGACATGCATTCAGACAACAAAGCAACCTATGCTCCCACCAAGGAACTTTGTGTGCAGTGGTACCTTCCCTCTTTGGAAAAATCAGCAAATGAAGAAGAGACTATGGTATGGTTACAAATATAATGCTTTAATATAAAGGACAGTTGTGCGTATATAATAAAGTGTCCATGTACATGGTGCCTGATACCACATTGTTTTTCTACTACAGATAAAATTGATTAAAAGAAAAAAGATACAAGCAAAAAAAATCAGCTATTCAAGTAGGATGCCAGATTTCTCAGGAGAATCTGAGCTTAAGCCCCTTTCCAGTTGCCATAAGCGTCATCTGAATCCTTCCAAGGTTAATGGGTCATTGACCATTTGATATCACTTTAATCATTCACATATGATCCAGCAGAAGACGTCTGTTGGATGGACAATCATATAAGCATAAACCTATATATACATTTTTTTAGTTTTCAGTGTATTACTATATATAGTTCAGAAGGATAACAAATTTATTTAGATCTTGTGGTTGTTATAAAGGATGCTATTTCAACAATATTATTAATAATAATAATATCAAGTATTTCTCCTTTGTGCAGGTTTTGTTCATTTTTGCTTACAATACAAAAATTGTCAAAATTATGAACATCAGTTCTTTCAATTCAGCCAACATATACTGTGGTTATTTGTGGATCCCATTGAATAGGTAATTTAATCCACTTTGCTTTGTGTATGTTATATTTCATATAAAATATGTGCATTATTGATAGTTTGTGGTCAGGTTTAACAACCATGGTCAAAACAGCCATTTATCAATGATCAAAAGCAGTAACCAAAATCAAATAACCCATGCTGGGCAGGAGCACATGTGCGGCACATTCTCCAAGGATCGTAATTTCTATTTCTTCTCCAGCCATGCTGCCAGTGCCCCAAGACATGCTGTTATCTGATCACCAAGGGCAACTTTTAGGATGATATGAGAAGATGCCATGGGAAGGTGGCATTAAGTAGTTTATCTACAGAATGCCAAACATAACTTTTTGGATTCCAGCCAATAAATACTCAGGAAACATCTATGGTGTTACATTGGGGAATTTAGGAGTAATGAATAAGTAAATTAGTCTAGAGATCAAGTGTCAGAATATGACATTTATCAAATAGGAAATAAGAAAGCACTGGTAGCATCTATGAAACCAGATCATTTATCAGCAGAAAAATCTGCTGGAGGAATAATTAATTCCAGCAGTACAGTCTGAAATACTCATATTTTTAATATTGAACACAATCTAAGTTGTCAGAAAATTAAAGGATAACCTGAAAGAAATTGACACTTAAGACTACAGTATAGTAAAACAAAACAAAAAAAAACAACCCGCAGTACCAATCATTTTCTAGTAAAAATATTTTTCCAAATTTGTGCTATAAATGTTTTCAATTTACATTTACAGAAATAGTTACTGTAGAATATGAGAACTCTTAGAGTGTAAAAGTTTTAGATGACCATCAAATGTAGTAGCATTCATGTGGTACACCAGCACTGTGGAAGTTGTTTTTCTGCAGGTTAAAGATTATAATTACACAGATGAAGCAGGTGTTTCTATAGACTTAACATCTGAGCAGGAAAGAAGCAATTTGGGAAAGACTCAATACAATTGGCCCTGCCTGTGTTGTTCTGTGTTTAAGTATTTTATGTGAAGCAAACTGTCAGTTCTTGCCTGTGAAGAGATAGCTCTACATTGTACTGTTGCATATTACATTCTTATTAGAAAACTCCAGCATATGTAGCAGAAATAGTTTACTGTAGTCTTTACATGCTTGGCATTGCATTATGTTCAACTTGTAAATAGTAACCTGGTTCTCCTATGGTTCTGAAGTATACCTTCTCCTGAAATACTGACCTATCCTTGCCTACATATTTTGCTGCTCTGTTATATCACATTTCTGCTTCCATTCCTAGCCAGGATACTATACTGTATCCCTTGCTGCTTTCTCCTCACCAGCTGATTACAAGCACTCTGTGACTTCTATTGAGATGGCTTCTTCATCTCCATTTTCTTGTCTTACACATATTTCCTCTTGAATTTCTCCTCCTCCTCTTCCTCTTCTTCTGAGACCTGCTTCCTTATATTCTGGAATATTAGCATTTCTATTCCTCATCATTGTCTGTAATTAATCTTTTCATATTGTGGCTATATATCAGACCACAACCATGTTTCTGCAGAAACATTACCATAACATTAACATTTAAAAGGCTTCTCTCCTAGTCGAAAAGGCAACAACGGCAAAAAATCTTCCCAAGTCTTAATTTTATTATTCAAGAAGATACATTTTATTTTATATATGTACAATATAACTATGATACCACTATATAGTTTCATATTATTATATTCTTTTAGAGTTATTGCTGTACGTGAAAAATTGTCTGATTTAAAGCAACAGCTTGAAATGTTAATACAGTCACTGGCGACTTCTCAGACTGAACAGACTGAAATACAGAAAAGTTCACCTTCAGAAGGACTCAGAACTAATGCAGCAAAAGTGCCATTGGATGAAAACACAAAGGTATTTAAACAAAAGACAAATTATCAGAAATGATAGTTCATGGATATCTGTCTATATAAAAATACACACACACACATACGTACAGTATACACATGTATAAACTATCTCTAGGGACTCTTATTCTTAGAAATACTTGATTTAAGTGTTCCTTTTTTTAAGCAAGACTGTTTTATGAAAAAAGCAGCAGTATATTACCCAAGGTTAAGGGATCTCTTGTACTAAAGGTGTGTTTAAATTGTGTGCTTGGAATTCTCCATGTTTTTTTCTTCTAATAATCAGAGGAGAATCTTATTCTGTGCTTGGAATTCTCCATGTTTTTTTCTTCTAATAATCAGAGGAGAATCTTATTCCAGGGTGTGTTTTAGTGTTATTTTTCAAAGGGATAATATTTGTGCTTGGAATTCTCCATGTTTTTTTCTTCTAATAATCAGAGGAGAATCTTATTCCAGGGTGTGTTTTAGTGTTATTTTTCAAAGGGATAATATTTATTTTATATCTATATAATATATTGATTATACTACTGTATAGTGTTGATATTATTCTGTTTGTTTAGAATTATTGCTGTGTTTTGATTCTCCCACAAATACTGATTTTTTTGTTGACAATTGAATGAGCCTTACAATCAGCAAGATTTCTGCAAAGTTCTGCCTCACTGATCCTTTATGAGTTTTTTGAGAAGATCAGGAACTACATAGACCATAAGAATCCTGGTAGTACCTTTTCTGTCTAACACATTTTATTAAAAAGCCACAAGCTTTCGTGAGCTATAGCTCACTTCATCAGATGCATGGAGTGACTAGATTGATGTAACATTTAAATTGGAATGAGGTGGGGGTGGGTGAGGGAGGGAAAGACAGCTTTGTTATGCAAATGCAAGTATATGTGAGGCAAATTACAGGTACCTTATCAATCAAATCTCTACTTTAACAGCATCATCATGGTGCTGTGTCAATTTCAGCAGCACCACTGAGAGAGAGATTGCTGAACTCACATACTTCAAAAAGTTTCAGGCAATCTCAAAAGGTCTCAACAGACACTGTGGGGTATTTAATGCATTTTCAGAATATATTACATATATTTGGGTAGTTGCTATGAGGAGAACTAACCTGGCTGCAAAGGCACTATTTTTTTCTGTTTCAAAGCCCATGTAACCTATGAAGGCATGTCAGCAATCATAAACTTCTTATAACAGTATGTATTATATACAGGTAGTTGTCGCTTTTTATATACAATTTTGATATACAATTGGAACCAGCAATTCCATTGCTAAGTGCCACCGTTGCTAAGTGGAAAATCACATGACCATGGCAGTATTATGATGTCACTTTCCATTCAGTCAGTAAGCAAATCACTGTGGTGGTAAGCGAGACACCACATGACCACGACTTACAATTTTACTTCCATGTTCTCCATTAACTCTGCTTGTTGCAAGCCGGTTGGGAAGCATGCAAATGGTGATCATGTGACTGCAAGACACTGTGACAGTTGTAAATGTGAGGATTGGTTGCAAAGCTGTTCTTTTTTTTACACCGTTGTAACTTCAAGCAATTGCTAAATGAGGCAGTCAGTAAGCAAGGACTGCCTGTACTGTTGAGTATATAGTATACAGCTATAACAATATAGCTGTAATTGTAGTTGCTTGCTACTGCAGTAGCAAGACTGAGGTGCTGTTGATCCTAGCTGTTTTGATAGTTTCAGATCCTAGCAACTGTTCTCAAGCAACTGTTCTCAAGTTCAGGGCAAGTTTCTAGGGATAAAATGGATAAGTGCTCCATCTGTTTCTTTCTTCAGGTGGCTGCCACTTGTTTTGTTTTCATTTTTATAGCAACTACTTTTCAAAGGAAGTTCCAGGGAAATGTATTCTAAACAGGATTGGTGGAGGTGGTGAGAGAGAGTAATGATTCCCATGAAGGAGGAACCAGGAGGCATGGCAAGGCAAGGGTTCCCACCAGTGGAGAAACCAGATTACCCACAAGTTCAGAATTTGAGGATTGAAAAAGGAAATACTAGCTTTGTTCAAGTTTTCCATATATCACAGCTGAACCAGATATAAATTGGCTTAATTATCAAACACTGCCAATATCACACAATCATAGAGGGCAGGAACTGCTTTTAAACTGGCATAAAATCCTCATATATGATGGTGCCCACTTTATTTTGGACTTTCAGAAAAGTTTTGAAACTGTTTCTTAACAAAGTCCTAAACAACATGAGTAATAATGGAATAAGGTGAATGATTATGTGGTTTAGGTACTGATTAAAGAACAGGAAGCATCAGTCAGGAACCCAGAAGCAAACAGAGGAAAAGTTGTAGAATTTGATATCCTGGTAATGAAGAAAACTTCAGTGGCTGCTTTCTAGTCTGTTCAAGCTTGGTGGACTGTTTTAGAAGGCAGATCCATGTCAATTACATTACAGTAATCTAAGTTGGAAATGATAATCATGAATATTTGATCTTTATTCCTTAAAGAAGGGCACAATTCATATATAAATTCAGTTGCTAAAAGGTATTGGAGCAACTTGCCTATTTGAATATCTAAGCACAGTACTAAGCACAGGAGTATTAACTAATTCCAGAACTTTGGAGAAGGAAAATCCCATTTAAAGCAGATTACAGATTTTCACCAAACACCATTTATGTATGTATGTATGTATGTATGTATGTATGTATGTATGTATGTATGTATTTATGCATGCATGCATGCATGCATGCATGCCATTGGACTTAAAGGCTGTCTGACTCCCAGATGACTTTGGGTGGCTTTCATTTCAAAAGTAGTAACAATAAAATGAAAAAGAAAAAAAAATATCTGGAGAAAGACAAACCCAATACACCAACAAAAAACCAATAGAGGCCTGAGAAACAGGGAGGCCTGACAAACTAGCCCAATCCTGGGAGCAAAGCCAGATTTTCAGAGACTTTTGGAACTGGTGTAAGGTGGGAGTCATAGATATCCAGGAGGATGCAGCTCCAGAGAACAGGTGATGTGGCATAAAAGGTGCACTTCCTAGGTCCTGATAAATGACATTGTTTGAGTGGAGCACTCCTATTCCACCTGATCTTACTGGGCAAGCATACACCATTGAAACACCTGGGTTAAAGTTCAGTTTATTAATCCAGCTATAAACTGCTTCCCATTCTGAGTAAAAAATGGACAATGGTTGAAGAAAGGGAAGAAAAACAAGGAATGGAGGAGGGAGGTAACCATCTCTTTAGACATTTTATCAATGGCTAAATAAACTTTGCTTTTTAAATCAAAATCAGCAGAGTCAATTAAGGAATTTCCTTGTGATCTTTTACTGATAATCTGTGGCCTGAGCATTGTCAGAACATTTGCTGGTTGATGAATGCCAAAGAAAAGTAGACATTTATTTTCAAAGGAAAAGACATTTACTATGTGACAGATTTTCTTCAATATCTACTCTGATATGATTAATGAGGCATGGGTTGGCATTTCATCTGATGGGTGTTGTGACAGCACAGACAACAGTTTTCTGTTTTATTATTAAAATACTGTGTTTTGAATGGATGACAAATATTTCAGACAATATTATAAATATAGTCAATTTAAATGGCAGTATTATTTTGTAAAGGCTTTTTTAATTGACAGTGGAATATTCAGATATTTTGACATTGAAAATAATGTGATTTTGAGATGATTATGTGGGTGCAAATATTTGGGACTGGTTTGCCAGGTCAAGAATGGTTGAATTTTCATTGTTGAACTATAAAAGCCATTAACATTGTACAAAGACAAATAGTAACAAATATTAGAAAATGGATTTCTCATTATATTTACAAATTTGCAGCTGTCTTAGGAACAATTCCATTTCTATATATAATTTATATTTTACTGTTCTGGTACTATAGATTTATTTTAGATGAAATAGTTGAAGCATATACCAAGAACCTAGCAGCCAAGTCTCCCAGATTTGAACATGTTTGTGTTTGAATTCAACATTTATGAACTTAGTATTTTTCTTATTGTTTCAGTGTTAATGAAAGACTAAGAGATAAAGTCTTAGTGTGCTTTTTTCTGTTCAGTCATAGCTACATTATTAAGACTTATTGCTATATTAGATTTAGATTTTCAGAAATTAAACAGAAATACAATATTTTAGTTTATTTTGTAAAGTTATTGAAAAAATCCCAAGATTAATATATGAGGGAACAGGAGTTGTAGATGAGTTAAATTTCTTACAAGATGGATGTCTTAGAAATAATATACTTCTTCACTGTTTTCATTGGACAAAATGAAAGTATACCTAAAGTACAATTATCAGGAAATTTTAGCCAATGATTGTTAGCTATGGATGCCTAATTGTTCAGTGAACAGAGTACAGTATATTTTACTGATAGTAAAATCATAAACTGTACTCATTTCAATATGTTAAAAAATGTAGTACAAAATGTACTTTGAGAAGGGGAAGGGATGGGCAATATTTGTGCTCCTGAAGATAATATGTCACAATGAGCTTTTAACGAGGGCTGCCCCTCTGCATGCACTAATGTTCAAGCAAGCTGATATATACTTATATCATCATATACACACTTGCATATCATATAGTCACCTAGATATACAGGCACAAACAAAAGGTAGATTTAAACTTTCCTGCTTTGCGTTATAATATAATTTGGTGCCTCCTGCTGCTTCTAATCAGCTGGGTTGGGTGGGAGATATATAATTTAAACTGAGAAGACATACGAAAGAATTATTTCCATATTTAGATTTTATTTCCAAAAACCCATCACTTAGCAGACTATAATGTTGTGAAACAGCTGTTTTGGGATGCCCTGAATGCCCTTTTCCTCAGCACATTCATGGCAGCTGGAGGAGAGATGGGGAAAATAACACATTCAGGGAGTGAAATAAGAAAAATGCAAGGAGATGGCAGCAACAGTGGGGTAACACACAGCAAATTGCATAGAAGACCTTTGGCATCTACGTTGCAGTCTGTAGCCCAGATGTTGTCTCAATGTGCTGCTGAGTACACCAGGTCCATTATCCTTTTTGTAAGGGATCATAAGTTATGTGTTTGTTTCAGTTGAGGAATTAGATAATCATGTTATCCTATACTTTTCTTTAATAAAATGATGACTAATGAAACTTGAGAGTTGTAATGTCAGTTGTCTCAGTTCTGGGGGGGAAATGTTACACATCTACAATTCATGATCAGGAACAAAAATTTCAATTAAAAACAGCATCTGCAATGTCTTATTTCTATTTTACTTTTATTTTGCTTGGAATATTGAGGCATGGTCCACCTAAAGATTCCTATTGAATAGTTAAAAAAAAAAATCCTTTGGTTTTCAAGAAAACTTCAGCCAAACATGTTGATGGTATGATATGAGAAGTTAAAATTATATAACAGAGTAGCACTTATTTTCTTATTTATTTATTTAGGAAATGGTTGAAGTGTGTTTTTCTGAAATAAAAGCCTTGTTGTCTATCACCACAGATCAGTCTGCACCACTTACAGAGGTATGTTATTTGGTTTTTTAAAAATATATTTTCCCAGTCGTAACTCTCTTCTGATATGTTTCTATCATTATTAGTATTCTGGAAAATATACCTTGTTACATTCCAAATAGGGAGTTGTTTGTATTAGCATGATTATAAGTGTTTTCATTGTATGGAATATAAGCTCTTCTTAGGTAAAAGAGTATAATACATTACACAATATGTATATGTTTGTCACCTGTTATATTAATGGTTAGTGGATAATTTAATGAAACACATTATTGTATTAAAATGCTTGGTTCCTTCTCATATGGTCTAAAATAATAAAAAGATATACCTATGCTTTTGCAAAGCACAAAACATACTTGAAACTTAGTTGTTTCTTTTCCTGTGAACATGTAAGATTGAATCATAAGGGAAGGACATGCTATAGTGGAGATGCCTCTAAGGATAGCACTGTGTATTTTTCTTGGATTCTCTCCCCCCAGTACACTACAGGTAGTCCTTGCTTTAAGTCCACTACAGGTAGTATGTAGTTCAGCAACTGTTTGAAATTACGACAGTGCTGAGCAAAAGGACTTATGACCAGTCCTTGAAGTTCCGGTCGTTGCAGTGCCCCCATGGTCCTATGAAGAAAATTCAGGCCCACTTGGACCTACCCGCATTTACGACTGCCTTTTGGCTGTCCCTGCCACGCCCACCATTCTGCGTGCCACTACTGTGTCAGCTGGGGCCTTCTTTGCACTGCCTTCTTTTGCACCAGGGCCATTGGGGCCTCTCTTGTACCTGGGCCAGGATCTCCATTCTTGCCCTGGCCAGGGCCTCCGTTTGCGCACCATCCAGGGCCTTCTTTCGTGAAAGAAGGACCTGGCTAGAAGGGTCCTTGTTTTGCCCTGTCACAGCTGGGGCTTTCTTTTGTGTGCCTGCTGGCGTTCAAATGGAGGCCCTGGCTGGGACGCGGGGGTCCTGGCTGGCATGCAAATGGGGGTCCTGGCCAAGGCATAAGACCCCAGCAGCATAGGTGCGAAAGAAGGCACAAAGAAGGTGTCACACTTTACAACTGCATTGCTTAGTGATGGAAATTCTGGTCCAAATGGCTGTTGTAACTTGAGGACTACCTGTACTGTATTACTCAAAACCAATTTGGGGAACTGGTGACAGGCAGATCTCTTTCTGCTAATGGGTCCTGTAAGCCAATTGATTTTTTTTTTCTACTAAAGACCATGTATGTATATTAGGCAGATTTTTTTCAATTTTCTTTAGTTATGATTCTTGATAGTACATGTGATCTTAATCAAATGGCTGAGAAACAATTGTGCCTAATTGAGAATGTTCCTCACAAACCCTATCTTTAGCTAAGATGATCAGCCACAAACCTAATGGGAATACAAACATATTGCTTAGTCAACAGTTTCTCTCTTTTTTTTCAGATCCCATTTGACATCACTCTACCATCGATAAAGAATTTAAGCAAATTGTTTGATCCAACTAATGGATGTGTGATAATGGCAGGAAGTGTTTTCAACTGGATAGTATCTCTGCTCACTTGAGTGGTCTTTGAGGAGTAAAACTGACATACATTTATTGAAGTTTGACAGCTTTTAGGATCAGCATCCTGTTACTCTGAAACCGCTGGAACTCTCTATTACTTGAAACCTAGAATTGGTCCATAAAAATCTTTAAGTTTATAAAATATTTTAGGCAGTACTAATTTAAGTAATAAACATGTTCTGTTAATTTTTGCAATTTCTGTTGCTCTTGGTTCAGAATATTTTTGATGCTTGGTTTTTAAACATCAATATTATTTCAATTTCATTTTTTTCTTTAAAAATAATGAAAAGAAAGCTATTTATGCAGCCTTTTGATCGCATTCTTAAATGAAAGTCATTCCATTTAAACTGTATAAAATATTTTTTCTGTTTGCCCTGTTTAAAAGTAATTATTTAGCACCAGATATGATATTCTTCCATCAACTTCTAGTAGACATCAGTGAATTGCAGCTTGTCACTGAATAATATTTTATTGATTTGTAATCCTAGATACATTATATGTTGTTAGAATTAGGATGTCAAAATACCTCCTTAATCTTGCTTATGGAATTTTTGCTACTTTTGGTAATATTTATTTTGCAAGTTAGAAATATATACATTATATTCTTCTTAGTTGCTGTAAACAGGTAGATCTTTGCCCTGATATTGCACCTGCAGACTACAAGATTAAAGAAAGATATAAATCCAAATTCCTGTCAGTGCACTTGACATAAATGCAGAGTACAAGTCATTCAAAACTGATAATACCTCACATTAACATCTATATATCAACTTAGTTTTCAAAGATTCAGTAAGAAGCAGGAGAACCAGTACTTTACTCTCTTGACTTAAAAGATGTGTAAAATTCTCTCATCCTTTCTCTGATTGTTTCTAAGACTAAACCTGGAAAAGTAGTATATATTTGAAATGTGCAGCACTTCAGATTGGATTCCAGAAATGTGTGTCAGAACCCACAGAGATGCAAATGTAGCAACTGACTGTGGTTTTTAAGGTAGATGTGTTTTTGCCTAGGATTATGTGGCAGTAGCATACGGTAGCAATCTGATTCTGGGAAAATATACAGTTCTTTAAAAAATTACAGAGATGCTGTATTCACATTCCCAAGCACCTATTTGGAACTGAATATGAAGCACTGCACAGCCCTAAACAATCATAGAAGCAAGTTATTGTTTTCTAAAATTTATTACCCAATGAGTACTAGAAGAGATAAGAAAAGTCTATTTCAATTTTAGATTGCAGTTTAGTGTACTGTCCACATCTGGACAGAGTTTGGTTCTCATCTTTGAAAACAGCTGAAACAAGTCAGCTTTCTAAACTGTTTTGAATTTTTTCAATAAACCATACTTGTTTAACCACAATTTATCCTTTTTGGACATCAGACCAAGTTGCAGTTCATCTTAGAACCACAATTTCTTTGCATGAAATTGAATATGAATTCAGTTGCTGCAATTGGTTCTCACAATCAAATCAAACCCTATTTTGCATGTGCAGATTACACATCGGCTTATATAACCTATGGAGTTAAAGGAATTGAAACACATTAATCAATAATACAGAATTAATCTGCCTCCATATTAACAATGACATTTTCCATTCTTTCTGGTTTGCAATAAGATCTTTGCAATAGGATATTGAACTGATAACACAGTTCAGAGCAAGTGTTCTTTACTATGCCAATCTTCTTTGCAAAAGTGGTATCATAGTAATAATCAACCTGTGTATTAAGATCAGCTGAGTAGGCCCTACTCCAGTCTCACCTGTAGATTTGGTGTGCAGTAATTAGGAGAAAAGCCTTCTGCGCATTAGCACCCTATTATCTAACTCTCTCCCAGGGGAAGTGCATCTGCTCACCATCCTTGCCATTTTCCAACAATATCTTGACATGCTTTCATCTAGCCATTTGTAGGATAATTGCTCCAGGCCCAGAGTACCTATTAAATTAATTTGTTTCAACTATTGTTGTTCAGGCAAATACTGCACTTAGTTGTTTGATTGTGGATTCTTTTACTAATCTGTATACTGCTCTAGACTCTCTTGGGAGGAAGAGGGGTATATTAATAAACATGTTAACCGCAACAATACATTGAAGCTTAACCCAGAGGTTAACAGAGTAAGGAACAATAACCTATGCAGAATGGGTTTATATTTGCCCTAAAGATTTTGATTTCCTTTGGTTTTATTCCTTCTGGATACTATATGAAACTGATTTAGGTGGTCATAAAAACTTGGTTTTGCGCGGTGAAGGTTAGTATGCCAACTTTGTTCCAGGAGATTGTCAAATTTGACCCTAGTACCACAGATTAAAATTATAATCCAATTAGTCCACTGTAATGTACTTTATGAATAAACTAGAGAACTGCTTTTGAAAATATGTTCAGAAATTTACTCATTTCTTTATACTGCTACCAGATATTGATACAGAAAATAGCATTTCTAGACTATTAGCTTCATGTACGGATTTTTGGGAGATGAAAACAGTACAAGTAGTCCTCGCTTACTGACTGCCTCGTGCAGCAACTGTTTGAAGTTATGACAGTGCTAAAAAAAATAACTTTGTGACCAATCCTTGCATTTATGACCATCACAGTGTCCCTCAGTCACATGATTGCAATTTGCATACTTTGCAACTGGCACACATTTTCACTTGCAACAAGCAGAGGTAACACTGTACAGTATGGAAGGCGGAAGTAAAATCATAAGACGTCATGTGATTTTTCACTTAGCAACCATGTCACTTCACTTAACAATCAAAAGAGAAGGTCATAAGCCCAGTCGCAGTAACACGATTTTCCACTTAGCAACCAAGTTGCCAGTCCCAGTTGTGTTTGCTAAGTGAGGGCTACTTGTAGCTGTATTGAATCAAATAAAATCTATCTTCTTCCATGTAATGTTGCTACAGTGGGTCAGCTACTGTAAAGGGACAATCACAAGCAGGACATGTTTAAAATAGCAAATGATACTGAGAGGCATGTTAAGTCTAAAACTGGAAGAAATGTATCTGTCAGAGAATCAAAATTCTGAAGTGACCTCAAAGGTTATCAGTTCCAACCTCTTGGACTACCCAGCCTCTGAAGACCTCCAGTGAAAGGGAATATATTACTACATGAAAAAACATATTCTACAGACTGTTAGTTCTTACCATCAGGAAATTCCCTGTAATATATCTACATCCCTGTATATTCAACCCATTTCTAGCTTAAGTGGTCTCTTCTGCAGACTAAACATAAGTATTAGTCACCAATAAATAATCTGTTGTTCAAACAAAAAGGTGATGCTGGCAACAAAACTGCACTTACACCCATCTTTTTATGAAGTGTATTATAATACATTCAAAGCAATACTGTGAATACAAGAATCTATTAAAACACCATAAAACAATACAAAATATTAAATTCTGCAAGGTGCTAGACTAAAGTGAAGGCCCATCCCCCCCTTTTTTGCCTACAATAAAAGTTTATTCATCTTAGGTTGCCCTTTTCCCTGTTCTGTTGCCTTAGTTATATTAGATCACAGATTCTACCATACACCATCTGCGTGTGGAGTTACATTGATCTAAACTGTAGCAAACATAAAACTCAAGCAAAATTTCATATATATCAAAGCATACTTCTCACTTTGAATAACTGCTCATAAGCAAAAAGCCTGTCCAAAAATTCTCTTTGCCACCATCTATCGAGCATCTGATATTTTGCAGGCCTGATAGTGCCAGTTTATTGGGGCAACAAATTGAGCCTAATTTCTCCTACAGAATTCAAGGGAGGGAGTAGGGAGAGGCACAGCAGGTCTGCATTCAGCCCCAGGAGATGCATCATCGAGGAAGTTCTGTCAACCTCTTCAGTAATATGAAACAGTGCAATATTTATTTAAAACATATGGCCATCCATCTTAAGCCAAACTCTGGGTGGCTCAAACCTCAAAATAAAAACAATATATATCAACAATGAAATTAAAAACAATGTAAAAACAGCTGAGACCTGGCACCACAGCTAAACTTTTCCATGTAGCCCACAAGTTCGTCCCATGTCAATCTCACCCTATCCCAGTGATTGGGGTGAAAGCCAGGTCTTGAGTGCTTTTTGGAAGGTTAAAGGAGTAGGGGACTGCCATACCTCGGGGGAGGGTGTTCCATAGGGCAGGGGCTGCAACGGAAAAGGCACACTTCCTAGGTCCCTTAAGATGGCAGCATTTAAGGGATGGGACCAGGAGCATGTGTACCCTATCCAATCTGGTGGGACAGGCACGTCCTCAGGGAGAGGCGGTCCTGCAAATAACTTGGTTTTGTACCATGTGGGGCTTTAACGATAATAACCATCACCTTGAATTGCATCTGGAAGGAAACTGGGAGGCAGTGCAGCTTGTACTACAGGAGTTTTAACATGGGTGAACCTAGGGGCACCCACCACCACGTGCTGGTGCAATCTGGACCAGTTGTAGCTTCTGGGTGGTCTTTAAGGGAAGCCTCACATAGAGTGTGTTGCAGTAATCCCAGCAGGAAGTGACCAAGGCACGAATGTCCTTGAGCAAGGCCTCCAGGTCCAAGAAAGGGTGCAACTCACACACAAAGCAAATCCAGCAGGAGCCACGAGTCTAGGAGGACCCCCAAATTGTGCACCAGCTCAGTCTGGGGAAGTGCAATCCCATCCAGTCAAAGATGACACATCACCAGGGCCTGAGGAGGCAAAAACCAAAAGTCACACAAAGCCAACTTGTGGACCCTTAAGAATTACAATGTATCACAACTTACATATTTTGTGAATGAGAGTTCCCCAGCTGCATACAGCAGCGTCCTCCGCTGGCAACAGTGCATCTAAAGAAAATGGAACGAGGAGCGGCATAAAACAGAAACGGAAGAAACCGCGATGAAAACCTGCTGAAAGGTACATATGCACGGCTAGACTCAGCACAGACAATGATTCGCACATTTGATGAAAGGAACTCTAGTTCTTCGAATCCGTTAGTTTTTATGGTGCCCCCGAATTCTTCCCCCCCCCCCCCCCCACGCCGGCTCTGCTTTCTCCAGAGCACAGATGTAAGGTGAGAAGAATTTGAAAACTAGGAGACCCGAGTCTTCAGAGGAACTCCGTGCTGCGAAGCGCTTTCTCCAACTCGCCCGCCCCATTTCGTGCCACCCGCTACTGGCAAAGAAACA